GGGGGGGGGGTTCTATAAAAAAAACCCAAATGCTTTAGCAGACAGAAATACTCCCACAGAGCACCTCTGCCCAAAATTCTCTGGTGAGCTTTTGCCAAGTCCGACCAATCAACAACGACATCACAAAACACTAAAAATACTTTCTTTCTAAGGAGAGGATATGTGAGGCAGCGTGGAGGAATCAGGCTCTCGTCGATTTTTGGGCATGTAGAGTTATTGGTATCATCTTAAAGCTTGTTCACTTGTTTTTATTTGGATGAAAAAAATCCGTTTATCTTAAATACAAGTCGATATATTTGCGAAAGAAGGAGGTGGGGCCCACTTGTTTTCAGAGGTAAAATTAGTGAGAAAATGGCCGCCGAAGATAACTTGTTTCCTTAGCTTAAGAGTCCGTGGTAACTGAAAATTTACATTTTTTGTGCCTTTAATCACCGTTTTTCAGAACAATCCACACAGAAAAGAGTTCTTCAATGGGCATGAAAAGTGTTAAGCCCAAAAAATTAAAAAAAAATAAAATTCACAAACCTGCGGAAAAATGCAAGTTTCTTGACTTTGATTATTTTGACGAGAGCCTGATTCCACCACGCTGCCTCACAAATAAACTCTCCATGAACGACGCTTTCCCCGTACGCGTAAAACCTCTACCCCGGGAAAAGGCTAATGCTTATTTTGGTTAGACCCACGAGAACAACCTTCCCCCTTTTCTGGCCGTGTCGCCAAGATCGGAGGGGAATAATAGAAGCAAGGCATGGGGTCCCCATTGATACGGGCACTGATTGAATCTTGAAGAAAGGGAAATGAGGACGTTGGAGGTGATCGAAGTCAGGCACTGTCTGGAACAATCATAGCGCGGTGTACCTATCACGGAATTCGGAAAGCTTGACATTGGAATAAAGACTGAACTCGAAGATGAAGTGGGGTACAAAAATCTTCTGGGAATAATTAGAGACAGACCTTGCGGTTAATTTAATCACCTCGTTGCGAAATGCAGAGCAAAGAATAATTGTGACCGTTAAGATGGGTTTGAATGGAAGTTTTGGCAGTTATACAGGTGAAGGTAGAATTCCTTTATTCTTCTTTGTACTTATACATTATGTATATTCGTTTGCCTGTGTTCGTCTGTTCATGTTCGACTTTTCTTCTTCAGTTGACATCACCCCCCCCCCCAATTCGACTCTCTCTAGATAGATAGATAGATAGATAGATAGATAGATAGATAGATAGATAGATAGATAGATAGATAGATAGATAGATAGATAGATAGATAGATAGATAGATAGGGTGATTGAGAGGAAGAGAGAGAAAGTATGAGGGGCAAAATTTGAAAGAAAACTCGGGTGTTGCTCCAAAAGGTTACCACAGCTAAACAAAAATAATTGAACAAAAATATTTCAAATTAATATTTCACTCTAGCAAAATACAAACCCTCAAATCACGCAGCGTTCAGTTCGCCTTTAAAAGAACCTATAATTATTAGTGTATTGTGTGACGTTAAACTCATACAAAAAACAATTGTGATTTTTAATATTTCAACAATTCACTGGGATTAAAGTTGGTTATATTCATTACATTCTTTTTTTTTTTTTTTTTGCTCTCTATTGAAGGACTTTTCAAACACAGATTGTATCAGGCATAGTATGCTGGCACCAACACAACCGCTACCTTCGTACCATTTAATATGCACGGTCGTGGAAAGCGAAATCACGAAACGCGCTTCTGACAAATAGAATGTTGACGGTAACAAAAAAGAAAGAAAATTAGCAATTTGCAGAGAAAACAATTGGCGTCCTGTGAGGAACGAATACCAGACAAAGGATTTCACTGAGTAGCGAGTGCTTCACACAGTATGGTTGGGTATATTGTGGGGGGGGTTAGGGTAGGGTTTTGGGGTTGGGGATTGGGTTTGGGTTTTGGGGTGGGGGTGGGGGAGTATTTTGTTTTGG